TGGAAGAATGTTGATGTCAGCTCCCGGATCAAGTTTGAAGTTGACTTGCATCCTGTCTTCTAGAGTTGCTGTTTGCATCCATGCTTGTGATCGGGTGACTTCAGGCGGTGCTTCATGGGTGACTGAACCACAAAAGTATTCTTCAGAATCTTCATCACTAGAGTTCATGCAGGCCTCGTCCACTTTTTTTGGTTGTTTCTTTGATGGTCTTTCTGGTTGATACTTTGATTGTTTCGAGCGGCATACCTTGGCAAAATGATTTCGGCCTTGACATTTGGCACATGTTTTGTTGCTGGCTGGACAATAGTCTGGGGTCCTGTGTTTGTAGCCACACTTCTTGCAGGTTTCTTGCTCAGGTTGGTACGAGGTTTTAACTGAGTCAACTGTGGAGATATCGGTTGTTGACTGTGATATGATCTCTCTGACCTGGGTACCTGCAAGTTCAGCTGCTCGTAGGGTTGTTACCACGTCACTCAGGGATGGATCCCCTTTCTTGATTAACTTAGTTTTAATGTCTTTATCATTTGAACCAAGTACTAGTCTATCACGCAACATGCTATCAGAATCATCGAAGGCACAATCCATCAGCAGTGTTTTCAAGTCTGTGTGGAATGAATTGAAGGATTCCCCTTCTTTTTGGTTGCGAGAATAAAAAAGAAAGCGCGAGTGCAGAGTGTTCTTCTTAGGGTTGCAGTACTCTTGCCATGTCTGAAGGACCTCTGCAAGTTTTGTATCTGTTTCTTTCTTGATGGTCTCATGAACCCGTAGGGCTTCTTCGCCTATGAAGTTGAGGAATATTGCGATTTTCCTGGAATCATTTTTTTCATCTAGCCCAGATGCAATTAGGTATATCCTAAAGGCTTCCTTGAAGGTCTTCCAATTTTCACTAAGATTCCCATCGAGGGATAATTTCGCCGGGATGTTGTAGGCCACTGCCATGGTTCCTGAGAACGCGGGAGTAAGTCTGTTGGTGGCGGTTCGGGTTCACACACTAGAGAGATTTTCACGCGAACAAGACGTGCTGAACAAGAGTCACAAACAAACAAGATTTATCACAGAGCCGTATCATTCAGTATGAATTTCACTAATATACGGGGTTTGGGCGCACGAGAGGCTTGTTGATCAAGAGTGAGGTTAGGTAATTGGCTTTGGTTGCGAGAGTTCACTGAATACGGGATTGCTAGCTCGATTTAATTCTAGTCGCACTATGTTGATGCTAGAGATATCCGACTGCGCCATGTAATGAAGTATAACACACGGGTTCACGGGACATACATGCTTTATTGATAACGAGATGTCAAGATCCAGGTACAAGTTGGCTTGCTCTAGTCTAACTGCCTATGACCCCCGCCTACTCGTCCACACACTGTTGCCATGTCGTGCAAGTATATCACAGAATTAGTATTATATTTAATAATATGAGACTTTAAAGGTCGAAAATGTCCGGTCGGTTACGCGTCGCCAACCCCGATTTTGAAGCAAAAGAGCAATTTGCGGTAACATACCTATCAGTACTGATCATGAACTCTTTGGCAATATTTGCTGAAAAGAGACTCTAGTGTTCAAGAAAATTGCCAGTTTGAACTGAAATGTTTATCATTGAGCGAGAAAAGTCATAAGAAAGAGGTGTCGCCACATTTGGCAACAAATTTTTGCAGTTGTATTAAGTACAGTGTTTATCTCGCCAGATGGAGTCAGGAGTTTCAAAACTGCCATCAAGTTGTTCGCTGAAGTCTTCTTGACAAAACCTTATCTTTAATCTCACATTTTTGAGTGTCGGTTACGCTGTGTCTGTTACGTAACCGACACAATTTGGCAGGGCCGCCATGTTTGCGTGGACCTCTAGCAGTCCCGCGGGAAGCGCTGATACCTGATTCAATGGGTTGTTTATCAATCACTTTAACTTTGCACTGAATCAAACTAGAGCGTGCCAAAGCTGGAAAAAGGAGGTTTAATACCTTTAGAATGAGGTAATGAAATCCTGTTAAAATTGGTGCACTTTTATTTCTCAGGTATTTCACATTTTAACTATTCCTGTTATCGTGAAATCACCCTTACGTATTAGATTATTGTTATCCTGTTATCACGAAGACAGAGTGTCATAGAGAATAAAAATAGGAGAGGTTGTCTCTGATCATGGGTCATTAGAAGGTTTTAGCATAGTGTGCTGCAACCTAGTGGCCGGCCACCGAACAGGACATCTGGTGCCTTCGATTCGCGAAAAGTTACCTCCAGTACTCAGTAGTAGTATGGAACGCCATTGGAGTCGAAACCTTTTTTCCTGCGCGCGGAATAAAAAAGGCCGTTTTTCTTTGAAAAACTCTGATTTTCCAGATTCTTCACCACATTTGTTGTGTCTTCGATATATTTTCGCCGATCGCGTCAAAATTATTATTGTCGATGCGACGCTCGAAATCTGTTCCGCGCGCAGAATTTTCGATATATCGATTGCTATGCGCAGATTGTATCCAAACTATTTTTTCCGGAGCTCCGACAGAAAATAATTCCGCGCGCCGAATTTTCGATGTATCCATTTTTCTGTGCGCGGAGAAACTTATCCCTCTGTTGACCGATGATCATTCCACTGTTGGAGGAGAAAAATCGCAGGTTGCCAATTGAATTTAATTTTATTTATTTACTTATTTCAGTAGTGAGTGCGATTTCTATTTGTTTATATTCCCACACCCTGCCGTATTTTACTCTCCATTCGCTATTATTGCCGATTCGCGGAACTACAAAATAATTCCAGTTTTTCTCATACCCATATTTTATTTTAGTATCGTTGCATAGATCAGCAGGTCATGTAGGTCTAGGCGTAAGTAAATAATGACTCTTTGAGTTCCTTACTTATGTGCCATTATTCAAACTTCCTCATTCTTTCTCAATTTGCACCCATCTTTCCCACCTGCACATAGTTCTGTTTGATTGATATATGTCCAAATCACAGAATTATTTAATAACGGAGAAGATTTAAGAAAGAATTTGTTTGTAAAATATTGAGAGAAAACAGAAGGGATGGGAAAAAAAACTTGGAAAATCTTAAATGATTTAATTGGTGGTAAGAAAGCAGAGGTGGGGAGAACCGAGGTAATAAGGGTAGGTGATAAGAAATTTATGGGAGTGGGTCACTAAACCATTAACGAATTTTGACTTGCGAATAGTTTTCTGAAGGAAAATGACGCATAGAACACGATGCGCACGTTAAAAACGCGAAAAAGTAACTCAATAACCGAGAAATGCGCAGTTCAAATCGCTCAACTTATTCGCAAATTTAAAACGCCCCGGTTTCGCGCCGCACCGAATGATGTCATCCGGCACCAATCAGAAGCGGACACGGGTTTCCACGACGTCAGTCAAATGTCTATCTACTCTTCGTATATGAGAACAATACTAAAGTCGAAACTATATCTTTTGAATTAAAAACTCGAATCTCATCCATACGTCAGCTGTAATAAACTAGCAACAATTCCACATTGAAGTACGTTTTATTTTAACAAATATCAGAGAAAAATTAAAGAAGACTGCGATATGACTACCGCAGTACATCAACACCGTATATATAATAACATATATATAATAGCACCATATATATAATAACACCACAAACCCCCCCCCCACCGACAAATCAAGGGAAGTGGACGAACATTAAGGGAAAAAGAGGGAAGAAAATAGGCAAAAAGAGAAAAATAGGATGAAAAAGAATGGAGGGGAGAGGATGAAGAGGGAAAGGTGGAAGCAAAAAGGAAGAGGGGGCAATGAGGATCTCTGAGAAATTAAATAATACTAGCTGCTCCGAGCGCTCTACGCGCGCCCTCCACAGCTCGCAATGGTGGTGCAGTAGCTTATTTGGAATCGGAGCAGTCGGTTGAATCTATTTGATAATGATAAATAAAATGTCTGTAACAATACGTGTTGATAGCAATACGCAGTACTGCAGTTAATATGTCAGGGTCAGTCAAGCCGCAGATAATAAGATGCCAGGATATCAAGAAGTTTTGAAGCTGAGCAGCCAAGGGATTGCGAAGGAATGTGGGTGGCGAGTGACGAACGACGATGCGACCCAAACCTCCTTCTTTGAGGTTGGTGGGAGGAGAGCTATACGAAAGAAAATGGAGATAACCGAAAGAACGTGGCGGGAGGGGTGGCTGGGGCCGTAGAGGGGGGTACCTGGGGACGGGCAAGCAGGTAGCGGCCGGACGACCGCTCGAAACAGCTGAACTTTACTCGTCGATAAAAGTAAGAAAATTTTAGAAAATCGTAAAAACATTTACAGCCTGCAAATCTACAGATCAGAAGCTTTCATTTAAAAAAAACCCCATGCAAATCGGTCCGGTGGTTCTCTCAAAGTTAATGTCCCAAAATGCGGACTTTAGTCTGAATTAATGGGAGAAAATTCGAGCCCAGCTAAACTTCACTCGTCAATAAAAGTAAGAAAATTTGACAAAATCGAAAAAACGATCACAGCCTGCAAATCTACTGATCAGAAGCTTTCATTTAAAACAAAAATCATGCAAATCGGTCCGGTGGTTCTCTCAAAGTTAACGTCCACAGATTTGGACCTTCGTTTTAATACATTGAAGATAATTTGAGAAAATTACAGGAGAAAATCTGAAAAAGTCGAAAAACAAATTACAGCCTGCAAATATACGGCTCAGGGGCTTTCATTTAAAAAACAGATCAGGCAAATCGGTCCGGTGTTTCTCTCAAAGTTAACGCCCAAAGATTCGGAACTTTGTATTTAAATATATATAATTACAGGAGAAAATTTGAAAAAGTCGAAAAACAAATGACAGCCTGCAAATCTACAGCTCAGGGGCTTTCATTTAAAAAACAGATCAGGCAAATCGGTCCGGTGGTTCTCTCAAAGTTAACGCCCAAAGATTCGGAACTTTGCATTTTAATATATAGGAGGATTAAATAGTGCAACGATGCTTCCTCCCCCTCCCCCCCCCCCCNCCCCCCGTTGGCGCCAAATGTGAGTGTGTGGGATAGGGATTTACCTCTTCAAATGTGTGAACGAAGCGGCGGAAAGTTGGGAATCTGCCGGACAAGGGGAGGATGAAGTTGATGTGCTGTTGCCGGAGGAACTGGACTTGATCGAAGGTGACAGGCTCGCTATTGGGAGACACGATGATGAGGTCCGAGGTCTCGGCCGTTTCCGGGAACTTGGTCATGGCCTTTTTCGGTCGCTTCACGTTGAAATTCACGTCGTCCTCGATGAGCCGCTCGCTGGGACGATCTTCGTGCCATCCTTCTAGTGTTAGGTCTAGCTCAATTTCTCTGATCTCCAACCCTGGAAGACATGCAAAATAATACAGTACCATTTGCGACAGTGGTAGGACGCGGGCGAATAACTACCTTTGAAGCACTTAAAATATCCTGTGGGTCTGAGAGCGATATGTGCCACGCAGATCCTCCCCACTCAGCATAGAACCTTATTACAATCTTAGTATAATATTGCACATCTTACACATCAACATTGCAGCCATATTATATCCATCTTAGTAAGAATGAGGTAAGATTGCGTCAATGTTGATGTGCTACTGCCAGGGACTTGCCTGAACATTGCAACAACATTGATAGTAAGGTTGAAGTATATATATATATATGAGTCGCTTTTATAGCGCTCTTTGGCGCTGTGCGACGCCTAATCGCCACAAAGCTCGGTCTTCCCACAGGTCATCAGGGAGTTGACAATCTCTTATCTCATTTAACACCCCCTGTCGCCAACCTCTCACTGGGCGTCCCCTACGTCTCCTCCCAGGAGGAACCCAATCAAGCATCTTTTTTGGCAGCCTCTCTTCCGTCATCCTATTGACATGACCATACCAAACAAGTTGTTTGGTCATGACGTCGAACACGATGTCATTTTCGACTTCCATTATCTGACGCACTCTATCATTACGGACCCGATCTCTCCTAGAAATTCCTGCTGACCTTCTCCAGAAATCCATCTCCGTTGCTCTTAGCATATCCTGTGTCCGTTTCTTCAGCTGCCAAACTTCACATCCGTATGTTAATATACTTTTGACTACAGCGTTGTATATCCTCCTCTTGTTATCTTTGGAAATCCGCTGATCCCAGAGGATTCCATTTAACATCGCTATAGCCTTCCTTGCTAAGGTGTTCCTTTCCCTGATAGCTTGATCCGTCCTTCCATCCTGGGTCAACCGCACTCCCAAGTACTTAAAGTGCTCGCAGCCTTTGATCTGCTGCCCATCCTCCAACTCAATGCTTTGCTGATCACCGCCAAAAGTCATCTTCTCAGATTTGGATATGCTGACTTCCAGACCCCACTTCCGATACTCTTCTACTAGCTTGCGCATCATGTATTCCGCGTCATCTTGATCTTGAGCAACCACCACCTGGTCATCAGCAAAGCACAGAGTAAACAGAGTTTCGAGATCACCCAAGGGGACACCCATACCAGAGCATTTCTTTTTCCATTCTTTTAGCACGCACTCGAGATAAATTTTAAATAATGTTGGCGACAAACAACATCCCTGTTTTAAACCCTTAGTCACATAAAATCCCGCTGACAACCCCCCATGGCACTTAACTTTGGTAAAACTCCCTTTATAAAATCGCTTAACAGCGTCAATCAACCCCCCGTTAAAATTCGATTTTTCCAAGGCCTCCCAAAGTTTCACCAACGGCACGCTGTCATACGCCTTCTGGAGATCCACAAAAATTAAATGCAGTTCCTGAGCTACGGCCATTTTCTTCTCAATGACCTGGACAATAACAAAGAGGTGATCTATCGTAGACCTGCCAGCTCTAAAACCAGCCTGCTCCTCTGCTTCGTGATCCTGCCATTCGTCCTCGATCTTCGCTTTCAGTATCTTCCCGTACACTTTGCTTATTGTCCCGGTCACTGAGAGCCCCCGGTAGTTGTTACAGTCGTCCTTCCTTCCCTTCTTTTTGTAGATGGCCTTGATCCAAGACTCCTTCCACTCCCTTGGTACCTCGTCACCCCTGATGCATTGTTGCATCAGTTTTCTGAGGCACTCAAAGAGCTTGGCAGTCCCGTACTTGACCAACTCGACAGGAATCCCACCAGGACCCGGTGCTTTGTCATTAATTAGCTCTTTAACCGCTTTAATTATGTCACAAGTGTGGATCTCCAAGTTGTTCATTCTTCCGTTGTCCGTGCTGTTGTCTCGAAACTCTGGGCGCCTTTCCGTCAAAAGATCTTTAAAATGATCCTCCAGTTTTTTAAGTGATATCGGAGAAACGATGTCGCGCTTCATGTCTCTACGTAAACCTTTAATTAACTTCCAGCTCTCAGCACTTTTTCTCCCCCCTAGGTAGGTGTTAATTCTAGAACAGTTGCTTTCCCAAGCTTCATTCTTCTTCCGTGTTATGAGGCTCCTAACTTTAGACTGAGCTTTCCTGTAAGCAACTTTATCTTCAGTCTTTTTAGACGACAGAAATATAAGGTGTTTTTGCCTCTTAAGATTTATCTCGTCTTCAATTTCTTCATCCCACCAGTAAGGATGCTGGTATTTATTACTGGTTTTGTGAACACCTAGGGCTTCTTTCGCTGCAGAGTGGATACAATCTTTGATGAACTGATATTGCTCTTCCGTGGTACCCGAGAGTCCATCCCCCAGCTTCTCATCTAAGCGTTTCCGATACAGAGCCTTGACACTAGGGTGCTCCAAACTTTCGATGTTATACCATACTTCATGATTTTGCGTTCCCTGACTCTGCTGTTGCTCAGGCATTGGCTCTTTATCTTTAATCCCTTTAACGGGAAACGCTATATCTGCTCGGAGGAAATGATGATCACTGCCGCAAGAGAGTCCCCTGCACACTCTAACTTGCTGCAATTTCAACTTAGTAGTGTGCTTTACAATTACATAATCGATGATGGATTTCAATCCTCGCGTTGGCTGGACCCAGGTATACTTATGGATGTCTTTGTGTTGAAAAAAGCCATTCAAAATTTTCATCTCAGTTTGAGAACAAATTGAGATGAGCCGATCACCGTTATCATTAACAGCATCCTCCCCAAACGGTCCAACAACTTTACAGTTTACTCGTCGTCCCGTTCTGCTGTTCAAATCACCCATAAGAATGGCTTCCCTGCCAGCACCAACGTTCAGTATTTCATCATTCAGATCTTCGAAGAATTGGTCCTTACATGCGACAGTGGCATCATCATTTACACCGTATACTCCGAGCAGCGTGATCTTATGTCCGTACAGGTTAAGGTTCATTTTGATAATGCGCTGGTTGACGGCCTCCCAAGTGCCCACGAACTTACGTAGGCTTCTCCGCAAAAGTATTGCTACTCCTTGCTGAGCACGCTGATCTTTGGCTACGCCGCTGTAGAATAGATCATAGTCACCGTAATTCTCTGACCCGTGCCCTTTTTTCTTGGTCTCAGTAAGAACAGCGACATCCACTCCAAGTTTCTGAATCTCCGATATCACTTCCGGTAACTTATTTGAAATGCCTTGGACATTCCACGTCCCAAATACCATTGTCCGTTTTCTCAATTTTTGTCGACGTGTCCGTTTAGTTCTAGTGGTACCGAGGCTTGTATTGTTAGGTCGTTTAACAGTAAAACTTTTTACAAGTACCGGGGAGTTAGCCCGATGACTCAACCCCCAACCTGGAGGACCAGGGTTTGATTTCGGAGTTGCCTCTCCTAGACAGGTTGCTTTCACTTCAGCTCAGAGCCCTGTCTGCCCTTCTAGCAGGTGGTTCATACGCCCAGAGGCCGGTGACCATCTCCACTGCCCCCTTTGAGGCAGGGGCTACCAGCTGGGGTCCGCAGGATTGCTAAACCTGTGACAACAGTCCCCCATACGGACCTAGGTAGGTATACTATATACCTAGGTAGGTAGGTATACCTATAGGTTGAAGTAACATTACACTAATCTTACATAATATTGGTATGCCCCCGTCAACATTGTTATCAGGTTGACACTTCTTGACATCTCCTTGATTGCCGGTCTATCAAGGTTACATCAATGTTGATATTGTCAGACTTATCCTGACAATACTAATTTAACATTCCATCCATATTAGTAACATTACATCAACATATGTCAACAAATAACAACATTGCTACAAGATATTATGCTGAGTGGGTCATATCACCCGTATTCTGCGTTCTTGGTCCGACATCCAGAGCTACGGCTCTTAGATCTGCAATGAGCCACTAGAAAAAGTGCTAAGCAGTGAAGTAGGTATACGGGTGAATTCAAATAAGGGTCAAATTCCAGGTTCTATTTTCTCCCAAAATTTTTTTGTGAATTTTTGGGCAAACCAAACTTTATTTTGACTATCATTAGGTGTAGACTTAGGAAATATAGCTCGTCGAGCTTAATAGTTCGGCTTAAACCCGAATTTCCATCGTCAAGTGTATCACTTCCCAAAATTTGCTCTAATTTTGCCTGATTTCCCAAATTTTCATCTCAGAGGTGACATATATTACTTTTAATTGAAAATTGAACACAATTGTCATAAAAGCATCGTCGAGCACTAAATTAAAGCATAATTGAAAAATGTAACCCTTTCATATCTTGCAGAGCCCACAAAATCGAGAAAAAATTAATCCGTCATGAAAGATATCTGGAGCTTATATTCTGCTTGTCTTTTAGACAGTTTTGCCTATTTATCAAAATGCGCTCTGTTTTCCTTTAACACGATAAGAAGCTTTTATTTCTTGGAATATTGCATTACAAAATGGATCAAAAACACCGAATTTTAAAACTTCGAGCGGGCGTGTACCCGCTGAACTAAAAATAAAGCCAGAAAAAGTTTGAGGACTTGCATTAACCCAAGTAGCATTGTCATCTACTTTCTAGGTGGCGCTCACCAAGAAAATGTCTACTTTCTAGATAGATTAATTTTCTTGAAAGCAAATAGGTATAAAGTAGATCTAGAAAATAGACAAAAGAAAATAGAAAGAAAATACATGTTCCACTTGCATTTTCTTAAAAGAAAACATTAAGCAATTGGCTAGAAAATAATTCTACTTTCAATAAATTTTCTATCTTTTTTCTAAGTGGGAAGTTGACAGTAAGTAGACCTATGAAATAGATCTATTTTCCTTGGTCAGACTTTTGACTCGCAATATTTTTTCTTTCTATTTTCTGGATAACTCTCATTTTCTTTGTTTTTTCTTAATATTTTTTTCTAGAAAAAAATTCTATCTTGCTACTTGGGAACATAACAATTACACTGGTCAACTTTTTTTTTTTTTTTTTTTGATTTTCCGAAGATTTGCCAACAGTTTTGGAGTAGATTTTTGGCGCTGATTCTGAAGAACACCTCCAT